AGAGCCGTCGTGTCATGGGCCAGTTCACGTTTCCCTCTGCTCCACTAGCACCAGGAAAAGATAACAAAGTTGATGGATTTGGGTGCGACAGTGTATGTTAGATGGAGCATAAAACAACCAGACTTTTACTTAAATCATGAGAAAAAGACTTAAAAAAAATCCATACTGGAACACTTTTCATCTCCTGGAAAGAGGAGAAAGTAAAGTGCTAGGAAAACAACGGGGATTGTACTCAGCCAGTGGAGCAGGAACGGGATGGAGAGAACGGAGCCGTGAGCCAGCAGGAGGCGGCTGTGGCCCCGTGGAGTATGAGGGGACCTTCTCCTCCTTGACTGCGAGTGTCTTTGCTAAACAGATTATTCTTGAACCCCACGGAGGGGAAACCTCTGGGGAGCCAATGTGTTCCCTCTCTCTGTCTGGATCTAGAAAGAGCCGGGGAGAGGACTGACAGGGACCCACTCACAGGACAGCCAACGTGCTGGTCGCTTTTCCCCAAGAGCAGCCTGCGATCCCCGGCAGCAGGCGCACCAGGGGGAGCGTATTAAACACACCGACTCCTGGGTGCCCACCCCGCTGGGCTCCCAGCCTGGGCTCCGCAGGTGGGGCCTGGGACTCTGCATTGTAGCCCCCACCCAGGTGATCCGGAGGCACTGAGGTCCTAGGGCCTCTGCTGTAGGTGCAGCATCGTCCCCTCCTCAGAGCAGGACGCTGGAACCACAATTTCTTGTTTTAAAAAAGCTATGAGAGTCACGGGAGAATCCTCAAGCCTCATTGCAGGGGCCCTTACGTGATTTGGGGGCCGCGTTCTGGCACGACAAGAACATTTTGGCAGGAGTGTCTCAGTCCTCAAAGCTCAACAAAGAGCCGCCTGCACCCCCTGCTTCAGGGCCCCCGGGGCTGCAGACAGGACCGGTGGCCCCTCCTCCACCCAGAGCCCGGAGCCCGCTCTCTGCACAGCCGGCCTTGAGCTGCCAGAAAGGCAAGGATGAACCACGGCCCAGCCCCCCGCCCATGTGTTTAGATCTCTGTTCCTTGACCTTCAAAGACTCTGTCTCCTCAGTTTCTCTCCCACTCTCGCCCCTCCCCATCCACCCACCCCGCACAGGCCCGGCCTCTCCCTCTGCACCTGCCGCAGGTGCAGAGCCAGGCCCGGGGCTCCTTCTGCCCATCCCCCCTCCCCCTCCCTCCAGCGCGAACTGTCTCCGGGAGTCCTGACCCGCACCTGTCCTGTCCAATGTCTCCTCCTGCATCTTCCACGGGCTCCTCACGTAGCCGCAAACTGTCCCCCTCATTCCCTGCCCCTTAAGTGTGACCTTTCCCCTGAAGTCTTTCTCCTAGCTGATGGTGCCTCGTGACCCCCATCACCCCCACCACAAGGAATTTTAAAAATGCATATTCCTGGGCCGTGCCGCAGAACTACTAAATCTGAGTCAGATCTTCCAAAACGTTGCAGTCGGTGTATTTCAAGCTCTCCAGGCTTTTATAATAACCAAGCGGGGTCAGGAGTCACTGGTCCACGGGCCTCGCTCATGTAGGAGATGCTGATCCAAGCCTTTGGAAACAGCTTGGAGCTGGAGCCATAAGTCTGGGAACGATTTACGTAGAAAGTGAATGAAAAGCTGCAGGAGTAGCTGAGCTCACCGAGGGAGAGAGCAGAAACTGAGACAGGCAGGACAGAGCCCTGGTACGAAGTTCCCCTAGACGCGGGAAAAGAAGCTAGAAGGCACAGGGGAAATGGGAAGAGAGGCAGCAAGAGACTAAAGAATAGCTGTGTCCCAAAGCCACAGTTTTGGTGAAAGTTTTGCAAAGGGGCCTCTGACCACAGAAAACGCCACCATGAGGAGGAGGAAGGGGCAGGTCCAGATCACGACACTCGTGTTGGTTGGTCCTGGCCCGTCAGCCAACGTGGGTGTTGCTTGGCTGTTTGTGTGAGGGGGTTTCTAACACCCTTGGCCGTCCGGTTGGTGGCCCGCCATGTCCCAGGGAAGCTACGACTTCGTGGCATGCACAGAACGGGAGCTGGACTGTGGCTCCTGAGGTCCAGGGGCAAAGGTCAGGGCACAGTCAAGTCTGAAAGACCCCAGAGGAGTCTTCTGGGTGGGGCTGTTCCAAAGATCCCAAGACGAGACACAGGAGTGTCACCGAGGAAACAAGAACCAGTGAGACCGGGGGCACCCTCGAGAAGGGCCCTGAGATCTTCAGGGCGTCCCCAAACCCACAGCTCCAGGAGCCACCAGGGACGCCTGTACCTGGGGACCTCACGTGCTGGGGTAACTGCTGCCTGCACGACCCAAGTCCAAGGCCCTCCTGGAAGGAAGGGGCATGGCCATTGGATGCACCACACCAAGGGCAGTCTGTCCCCTCGGCCCCATAACACAGTGGCCCTAGAGAGGCCCCAGGACGAAGCCACCAGCCCAGGGAACGGGAGCAAGGTGCCAAGGAGAGGGCAGAACGGACCCAGCAGAGGCAATGCAGACCCTTCCTCAGAAAGATTAAAGTTAAAATATTATACTTGCATGTACCCATGCATCCACCAGAGGAAGTTCAGGGGCAGAGCTGGCAGAATGAGGCAAGTGCATCTGTGTATCTGTATATATGTGTATCTGTGGGTGTGTCCGTGTATGCTTTTGTGTGCGTGTCTGTGTCTATGTGTGTGTCTGTGTACATGTGTGTGTCTCTGTGTCTGTGTGTGCCTGTATCTGTGTATATATGTGTGTGTCGTGTGTGTGTGTCTGTATATGTCTGTGTATGTCTGTATGTGTCTCTGTGTGTGTGCGTCTGTGTACATGTGTGTATGTGTCTCTGTGTATATGTGTGTGTACACACATGTGTGTTTCTGTGTCTGTGTATATGTGTGTGTCTGTGTGTGTGTGCGTATATGTGTGTCTCTGTGTCTGTGTATATGTGTCTGTGTGTGTCTGTGTCTGTGTCTTTGTACATATATGTGTGTCTCTGTTTCTGTGTATATGTGCGTGCCTGTATGTGTCTGTGTACATGTATGTGTGTCTCTGTGTCTGTGTATATGTGTGTGTAGGTATGTGTGTGTGTGTCTGTGTGTGTTTAGGACGGAGGAAACCCTCCATCTTCCGAGCATGCTTCCTTAATTTACTGTTACCGCCCAACCCGTGGCTTGAGAGAGGCGGCAGCTGCCTTAGCAACTGGAACCCCCTTCAAGCCCCCATGCTCTCCTGTGCGGCCCGCATTCCTAGTATGAGGTCCCCCAAGTCCTGACTGCCCCCCATTGCCCTCCCCGCACTGTGTGGCCTCGCCCTCATTGGGGAAGACGTTAGAGCGACCAGCGGGGCAGCCTGGACGGGCCTGGGCTGGTGCTGCCGGTACTGTACCCTTCGTTCAGAGCAGCTTTACTGGTACAATTTACGCACCAGGAAACCCGCCCGTTGTGAGCGTGTGACCTGCGATCTCCAGTAAAAGTCCAGAGTTGTGCAACCATCACCCCCGCCTAGTTTCAGAACTCATCCATCACCTGCAGGGTGTTTTAAAGACCACAGCCCCTCACCTCCAGCCCGGAGGGCATCCAGTGACACCCTGCTCTCCAGCCCGGAGGGGTGGGACCAGCAGCCCTCGGTCACCCAGCGCGCCCACCTGTACAGCCCCTGGTGGCCCTTCTCATCCTCCCGGACTCGAGGTGAGGGGCCGTCTCTGGGGCTAAGATGACAGCCTCCACCTCGGTGCCTTGGGCCAGAGCTGACCCAAAGCATCACTGGCTTCCAAACGCCCCGGATTGTTTTTCTAAGTGCGCAGCCACAGGGTTCTGGGGAGGACCGGGGGGGGGGGGGGGGGGTGACACTCGGAGCAGAAGTAGCACCACTGGAAGAGGCTCCTGCTTTGCTAGGGGCCCTTTGGGACACCCCTCTTGTATTTCTTTTGACACAGCAAAGAGGTCCTGCCTGTTAAGAGACAAGGTCACGCCTCAGCAGGCCGCGTGGATTGGGCCGGTGCTCTGGTTGCCGTGTCATCACTAGGCCTGAGGGCCGGCTCCGGAGCCTGACCCCACGTGCAACCCAGGCTCACTGTGACAACCAGGCGACGGCCGTGAAGTCTAAACGGGCATCGGACGGACTGCCTGACGGGGCCAAAAAAAAATGTCAAAGGCCAAAAAGCAGAAGAACTGACTCTCCCGTGACATCACAAGAAGCCGGTGACAGCAGAAGGCGGCCCGGTTCCCTCCTGCTTCTTCCAGAAACTATCACCAGACAGTCCCGTGTCACCAGAGGAAGCAGCCAATGACGGCGGAAGATGTGCTTTTTGGGGGTCACGTGAGAAGCTTTGGTGTCCTGGTAGGGGAGAGGAGAGGGGCAGGGCTTCCCCCCAAGCCTGCAGCCGAGGCATCCTGGGGCGTCCGGCTCTGCCAGCTGCATTCCAAGGCTCTCCTCCCATGCCCAGACGGCGCAAAGGCCTTTGTGATGACTTCACGCTCAGCCCAAAGTAAACACCCTCCACACTTTTTCCATGGACACATTCTAACCCGACACTGCCAGCACCGGCCTCCCCACCAACCAGATGGAAAGCCGCCTTTCCCAAGAACGAAAACCTTTCTAACTAAATAGTACATCTCGGCTGCAAAAGCAAACTTTCCTAAAAGCTTCCTAGAAATTACTTCCCGTGCACCGATCCCACATGTCACCTGAGCAAACGTCACCAGCGGAACGAAGGCCCTGGAAACAAACACGATGGAGGATCCACAAGGCACACTCGCTCCCGCAAACACCTGCCCTGCAAGGCTGCAGGTGTGCTGAGCACCCCCAGGCCGCCGCCCAGAGCTCACACTCACGTGCGCCCTGCTCACAACCACCTGACTGCAACAGTATCTGTCAAAACAGGCTGACATAAGACAGGTGCCCATTTGAATAAAGAGCTAGAGCCCTCGGGATCCAAGCTCGGCTGGCTTTTGAACCATCAAACACGTTCCAGCTTGAATCCGCGTGATCCAAGCTCAGGCCTCCGCCGACTCGGAAATGCAGATGCAACAGTGCACTTACCAGGTTGGAGTTGGTGGCGTTGGAGTCGTCCTCTGGAAAGGGAATATAGATCGCTAGGGCCACACAGTTGGCAAAAATAGTCAGTAAAATAATGATTTCAAATGGCCTGGGAAGGGAGTTAAGGAAGTTAATGCCACGGAAGCACCAGTGAGACAAACATACACAGATAGATGTTTCAAAACGGAATCAAAGATTCATCGAAGCTTGTTTAAACAATACATTCCAAGCCCCTTGTATCCTGAAAAGGAACATATGCCTTGTTAAGTGCTTCTAATGGGCCCCGCCAACATTTTCCCTAATATGTCAAATGCAGTGGAGGCCAGGCGCGTGCCAGAGTAAACACAGGTTTCTAAAACTTTTTTCCCTTCTTTTATTTATTTAGATTTGCCCTGGACTTCATTTTCCCTCATGTGTGCTCAGGGCTGCTTTGAAAGATTGAGGCCTGCTCCAGCCAGGGCTCGCCACCCCCAGAGGCCCGCACCGGGGCCCGACAGAGCTTGGCGGGGGAGAGGGGGGCCCCCTGGGATTCAAGGCAGAGACTCGACTCGAAGACGTTTCAATGACATCTGGAGATAGGATTTTCAATCTTTTAACTTTAAATTTCGAGTCTGTTTTTTCTTCCTCCTTATTCTCTGCTTGCAAAGAGCCGGAAGGTGGCCAGGGGCTCCGGACGCCCAGGAGCACGGCAGTGTGTGTCGTGCACGCAGGGGACGGCAGCTCCACGCAGGGGCCCAGAGCCTCTTCAGTCTGCAGAGGCCCTGCCTGCGATGAGGTGGCCTGTGTCCCAGGGCCTCCTGACTTGCCCGCGGGTTGTGCCGGGCGCTGGAGGGGATAAGCCAAGGTTCGCCCCCGGCCCCCAGCAATCAGGGAGGTCCTTGTGCCCGGATTTTCTGCACCAAAATATCAGGGCAGACATGTTCTCGAGAGAAAAATGAGCAACTGTGATAACAGCCCTTCTACCCTGCACCCTGAACTAAAGGCCAGAGAAGGGGGCTTCAGAGGAAGGGCCCGGTTCATGCCCTTCCAGCCCCAGCTCCCCACCTCCCAACACGGCCACGTTTCCACCCTAGTCTGTGGAGCCTCACAGGAGGAGGTAGAGAAGGAGGATGGCCATTCCTGGAGACAGGGACCACCTCCATCTCCAGGGAAACCTGCACTCACAAAGCTAACGAATCCTGAAACAGGAAGAGGCCTTGGAGATGGTCTGGTCCAAACTCCCAAGGCCCAGACAGCCTGAGGAACGTTCCCGAGACCCACATCAGGCACTGACCAGCCAGGACCAGAACCCATACCTGTGCCCACCGAGTCCACTGTCCACTCCTCTGGCACGGACGGCCCCAGACCTGTGTCATCAGGGCAGCTCGGGGCCTGGAAGGAAGCGGTGATTCTCCAGTCCAGGGCCTCCCGGCTACAGATGCCCTCGGCCCCAAGGGCAGAGCTAGGGGTCCACTCACCCAGCGTGCCCCACAGACACTGCCGTTGTCTGCGTGTGCCTTGGTGTCCAGAAGACGGCCTGCAGTACACTGCCCAGCCCCCCAGCTGGACAGACACAGAAAATAAAACCACCTGTCTCAGACCCGAGCTGGCCAACAGCAGAGCCAGGTCCGAACCAGAGCTTCTGACTCAACTTTTCCAACAGGCCATGATGCCCCTTGAGCTGGCCGAGGACGCGTGGTGAAGATGGGATGCTGGCCGGGGGGACGGCCAGGAGCTGACGCTGACCGAGAGCGCCCCCCGGGCCAGGCCCTGCTCTGACCACACTACCCACACTCCGGAGGGGTGGACAGTTATCACCCCGCTTCTACACGGGGAAGCCGAGGCACAGAAAGTGAGATGTCAACTTGCCCAGAGTCACATGGCTTGGGGTAGGATGGGGTCAGACCAGAGAGTCTGGCTACGGAGTCTGAGTCTGTCAGGAACATTCTATGCTGATCCACTCCGAAGTCACCCTAAGCGTTTTTAGGAAGCTGGTTCTTTTAGACCTCCTCCCACACGGCCTCCTCCCTCCCACCCTGTCCCCACCTGCTCGGCAAAGCGACACTCAGCCCCAGGCTGGCAGCTTCGTTCCCATCACCTGGCCCTTGTGGTCACCCCCCCAGGGCAAGAGCACCTCAGCTCAACTGAGCCAGACCTCAAAGTCAGCCTGTCACCCTCCCAGGTTGGTGACGGCTAAGCCCAGGGTGTCTCCGGCTCTGTTGCTCACCCCCAATTTCAGGCTCTCCATCCATCACCTTATGGTAAATTTCGGGGCTACTGCTGGGGAAGAGAAGGTGCGAAGAAACCACTCAGGCACGAAACAACTCTGCAACGTGGAGAAGCCCACTGTGGGCTGGCTGTTCAGGCCCAGGTCGGGTCCCCGTGTGTCCCAGCCGGGCTGGGTGGCATCCTCTAGACATCCTCCAGTGTGTTCTCTTCTATACTCTGGGCTCACGGGGAGCAGGCCGCGTGGACCGTGGATTTGGATTCGGGGCACCTGGATCTGAATCTCAGCTCTGCCGGTTGCCAGCGGCGTGGTGTGGGCGAGTTCAGCTCCCCCAGGCCCCCCGCCCCCTGGCCCCTCGGCCCTGACTGAGCGTCTGTGACAGCAGCCCAGCGGGGCCCCCCAAGCCCAGCCTCTCACCCGGTCACCCGGAAAGCGGACACCTCGGCCTTGGGAGCCCTGCCTGGCTCTGCAGCTGCACTGGGCTCGGGCGCCTCCTCTCAAGTGCCCTTGGACTTAAGGGCTCAGGCACTGACGGAACTAACATCTCCTTTTACCTTTCATCCATCCCCAAGACCTCTAAATCTTTCCATGCAAAGTCATAACTGAAACCCAGCCCTCCATCCTGAACCCCGGAGACGTGGCAGCCCTGCCCAAGTGGATTCTTACCAGAAAGACACCCGGCACTAAGTCCCAGGCCCTAGTCCGGCCCGTGTGACCTACGGGCACTGCGTCATCACGGGAAGTCAGGGCGCACCCACTGATGGCTGGGAGCCTTTCCATCTCCCCTCCCCACTATTCCCGGCGGGAAGGGGCCGGCGCTTGCACCGAGAGCCGCCCTTCCAAGCCACTTCCCCTGCAGGCCTTGCTCACGGGGTTCCGCGGACAGGGGTTCTGCGTTACACCCTCAGGCCGGCGCTCTCCACTTCAGCTGCACCTGGAGAGCTTAGCCAGGCCTGGGTGGAGCTCAGACACCTGTGCTTTGTCCCAGCTCCCCAGGTGACGCTGATGTGCCCCAAGGCTGAGAAACACTGAGCCACGCCCGAGCGCCGACCCTCTCGTCTCTCCCGGGTCCTGCAGCCTCGAGCAGGAGGTCCCGCATCTGCGCCAGTCCCACAGCTCGGGAGGAGGAGGGGGGTCTGGGGTGCAACGCTGTCAACCCCACACATCAGTGGGTCCTGGGCAAGCTCAGCCCGGAGAGGGGATACTTGCCTACCCCTTAGGCTTGTTTTCTCAAATGCTGCTTATTATATAAAAAAACAACCCCCAGGGAGCTGGTTATACAAGCAGATTCCTGGGCCCCATCCCCAGAGACTCTGACTCGAGGCTGGGTAGGGCCTAGAACTCTGCATTCAGACAGCGCCCTGGCGACAGATGCCGCAGGTCTGAGAGCCATCTGCTGGCCCCGCACACAAAGGATACTTCCACTCGACGATGCTGATGCACGCCCTCCGGACGGGGTTCCTGAGGGTCAGGCAGAGCAGGGCACGGGGCGGGCGGGTGGCCATCGTGCTGCCCTGTTTCTTGGGCTTCCCGTACTGCTGCCGCTTCCGCTGCGTGGAGCTGACCGTGGAGATGGTGGCGTTGCCAGCGCTGCCCATCAGCTTGGCCTGCCGGGCCGCGTCAATGGCTGCCTGCCAGGACAGGGCGGCCCCCGGTGTGGGGATGTGCTCAGGTGCCAGCCCCGCGGCCGCGTTGGCATTCATGTTGGCATGAGCCGGGCGTGGGCTCCCATAGCTGGGACCTGCAGGAGAGAACAGGGGACAGCGGTCACTGGGAGGAAAACAGGAGAGCTTGTGATGTGCTCTGGATCCCAGGCTCACAATTTTTTTTTTGAAGTCTCATTTCAACCACAATTCAAAAAGAGACATGTACCACAATGTTCACTGCAGCTCTATTTACAACAGCCAGGACACAGAAGCAACCTAAGTGTCCATCGACAGATGAATGGATAAAGAAGATGTGGCACATATACACAATGGAATATTACTCAGCCATAAAAAGAAAGAAATTGAGTTACTTGTAGTGAGGTGGATGGACCTAGAGTCTGTCCTACAGAGTGAAGTAAGTCAGCAAGAGAAAAACAAATACTGTGAGCCAACATATGTATATGGCATCTAAAAAAAAAAAAAATGGTTCTGATGAACCTAGTTGCAGGGCAGGAATAAAGAGGTAGACGTAGAGAATGGACGTGAGGACACGGGGTGGGAGGGAGAAGCTGGGGCAAAGTAAGAGTAGCATCGACATAGATGCACTACCAAATGTAAAACAGTTAGCTAGTAGGAAGCAGCCGCATAGCACAGGGAGATCAGCTCGGTGCTTTGTGACCACCTAGAGAGGTGGGTTAAGGAGGGTGGGAGGGAGGCTCCAGAGGGAGGGGATATGGGGACATATGTATGCATGTGGCTGATTCGCTTTGCTGTACAACAGAAACTAACACAGTGTTGTGAAGCAATTTTGCTCCAATAAAGATCTATTAAAAACAATGTCCTATTTCAAACCATTGCAGGAGCCAGGGAGGCGGCACATGGAAACGTCAGTGTGTGATGCTGGGAATCTGCTCTGGTCCTAGTTCAGTCTAGGTCAGCTGTGTGACCTTGGATACATCACACCCCTCATTTTAGGTGAACAAGACACGAGATGTATTGCATTACAACCTTTACGGACCTCAGAAACAGTGAGCGGAGGATGTAGAAAAAGACAAATATGCAATGCAACACATGTCAATTAAAATACATACTTGTAAGAACACATACAAATAAAGTAGAAGGGAACGGTTGTTTATGGAAGGTGAGGCGGAAAATGAGAATAGGCGCATGGGGACAGAAAAGAAGAATGAATGAATGAATGAGAGCCACTGCACGAATCAATGCTAACAAACGGACAATGAATTGAAGGGTATAATTTACTCAAATCTCTGCACCTAAGTTCCAAAAAATAAAAGTAAGTCTGATAAATGAAGGGGATGGACCCAAACAAGGTCACATCCAGGTACCTCAAACCCATGTGGCGATGGGAGTTGTTGGATAGGAGGGCGGGGGGCTGTGATGGTTTTGAATCAGGAGCTCCTCTGACATGCTCCCATTGAGAAATAGGATCTATGCGCCCTCCTCCTGACAAAGGGTTGGCCTCTTGTGACCGTTCTGACTGGTAAAGTTTAGCGGAGGTGACAGCAGAGATCACTTCCAAGGCTAGGTCGAAAACTCGCAACACCAGCCCTGGGCCGCCATGCTGTGAGGAAGCCCAGCCAGCCAACGTGGGGTTGGGGGATGGGCATCCCAGCCAGCCCCCGGCTGCTCCAGCCGCCGCCTGACTGCAACCCCACGACGACACCCCAAGCCAGAACAGCCCAGCGAGAACTTCCTGAACTCCCGACCCGCAGAAACTGGGAGACAGCACCGTGTTTGCTGCAGAAAGCCACTTGTCTTCGGTGACTCATTACGCAGCGTTGGGTATCTGGCAAAGGGCACTGTGTGTAGTGGGGGTGACCAGAAAGAAGGAAACCTGGGTAGGAACCAGTGAAATCCAGCATAGAAACATCTGCATGGCTCTGGTCTAAAGGCAACAGAAGCCTCCAAGACTGTCCCTATGACACGGCGCGTGTCTGGTGGGTTCTCCCCCATCTGCTTGGCGGGCACCTCACCCCAGAATCCTACAAGACTTACCAAGGGATCAGCTCAGCCTGGGCCCCAGATCAGACACGTGACCTTGAGGCTGGCCGGCTGGGCAGGTGCCACAGGGTCAGGAGATGCCACAGAGAGTGGGGTGATTACTGTGGGCGGAGAGCCTTGCATCTGGAGGCCACTTCAGCCACCTGGGAGACTGTGGCTGGAGCCCAACCAGTGGCACGAATGTCACCTGCAAGCCTCCCCCACCACCACGATGACCCTCTTCTCTGCTTCGTGTACACAAGGCTCCTCCAGGGAAGCTGCTGGCCCAGGACACACTGCCTCGTGGGGCCCTTCTCTCTCCTCCCTGCCACGCGCTGGGTCCAGATGAACACTTGGTGCCTCACCCAGTCCCCTCCCCCCAGCACACATCCTGGGCTCGTCCTTCTAGGTTAGACCTTCAAGGCAACTTTTGCTGCTGGTGTGACCCCTCAGCCCCGCCGCCGGCCCTGTCCACGATGGGGGCCAGTGCAGAGATGAGCACACGACTCAGCTTAGCCTCAGAACCCAGACACACTCCATCCTAGAAACAGGCTCTGAAAACCACCAGGCACCTGCATCCAGCCACACCTGATGCCCGCCTCACCCTGAGCTTCCCAGTTTTATTCCTTAGGTAACTTCGCTTAAGCTAGTTTGAACTGGATTTCTGTCCCTTGCAACCAAAAGAGAACGAATACGCTTGCTCGTACCTGCCTGGGCTGTCATTCCTCCCAGCTTCCAAAGTCTATGTCCCTTCCATCGTCACACCAGTGACACACGGTAAGTTTCCAGTTTTATGCCAACTGACCGACGTGACCACCAAAACGCTGTACCTCAAGGATTCTGGGACTTTTCTGAGCACGAGAGAAAGGTGACAGATTCATGATGTCTGCCGGGGGCACGAGAGGGAGGGGGACGACATCACAGGTGTGCGCTTCCCACCCCACAGGACCCCAAGATGAGCACTTCGGGTCCACTTAGGTACCAGCTGCTGCCACCTCCCTGTCCGCTGACAGCCGCCTCCGGCACCGTCGCCATGTGGTCCCCGTGGCACTGGAGCCCCACCGCCACTGCTGGGCCTCGTCCTCAGTTCACGGCCTGTCCCCGACCCGACACCAGCTCCATGTCACCATCTAGGACGTCGGGAGCCGGAGGACCCAGCCCTTCCCACCGGGGGTCTCATCTGTCACGCACCTGCCGCCGTCCTCCCTGTGTGTCTGAAGCCTAAAGCAAGTGAGGCCCCGCGAGGCCGGGCCTTTGCCTTTCTTATGGGAGCCCCAAGGAAAGGACGCGAAGCCTCCAGGCGCCTGCAGCACGAGCGGCGCCGTGACAGCCAGTCAGGTGAGTGTCCCCACCACACACGAGGGCGAGGGCGCCGTACTCGCTGGAGGACGAGCTCCTCCTGGGGTTCACGGCCTGACGGTGAAGGGGCTGCACTTCTGACCCCAAGAACACCCTCCGTGTCTGAGGCGATCTTCACGGGGCAGCGCCCACCACACCACCCGCCCCGGGGCCTCCGGGATGGAGGCGGATGGACAGACGTGCTGCCCTGGACCGAGCGGGTCCGGCGTGGCCGGATCGCGTGTCTCATTAGCTTCACCGGCGAGGGGTCCGACCCTAAGCTTGCCCGTTTGATCTGTGGGAAACCACCTTCCTTCCTAGGCCCCCGGTCTGGCCATGACCATGCTGAACAGCCTCTGCTGGAGCTCCTGGGCCGGCCGTCCTCTTCCCTCGCGTCAGGAAAGCGGCCCTGGCTCCACCCTGCCGGACTGTCCGGGTCTCCGCGGTTCTCTCCTGACACGAGGCCTCGACACCACCCCCTCCCGCAGACCCTGGCGGCCACATCCCGGCGCTCCCGGAACGCCTGGACGAAGTGTGAAGACGAAGGCGGGAAGCGGCCGACAAGAGCTGACGTCATCACCGCCAAGGCCGGGCCGGGTGCATCCCGGGGCCCCGAGGCAGCGAGACCCGGAAAGCCTGGCCTGGGGGGGCTAACTTCAGAGCCACCCGAGCCTTGGGTGATGACCTTATTTATACTGTGAGCCGTTCCCAGAGCAGTGGGACCTCTCGGGAGAGGTCCATCTGGAGAAGCACATACGGATAAGCCCGTGGGGAAAAGTGGAATGTCAACCTCTCCCCAGCCAGAGGGCAAGAAAACAACCTTCAGTATTTCGGTCCTGGCAGCCCAAGCACTGCTGCAGCCTGTGACATAACGAAGGGCACAGTAAACACAGACACACACACACACACACACACACACACACACACACACACGAGAGACAGGTGTGGCCCCTCGGGCTGGCCTCCATCCAGGCTGTACCTCAAGGCCCAGCTCAACCTCTCCTATCACAAGTGACTGTCCCCCACGCCCTGGGACGACTCCCACCCAGGCATGAGGCTCTCAGGACCCCTAGGACCCCCGTGACAAGAGGACACAGTGATCCATGAATGGCAGGAATGGCAAAGCTCCATCTCAGGCCCCGTGCTGGCAGATCCGGAGCAGAGCTAGGGAGGAAGGGAAGCAGCTCTGTGTCTCTGACGGCTCTGACGGCTTCGGTTAGCAGGAAATAAGCACCCGACGCAAAGAGACCAATTTTCAAATTATAAAGCTGATTCAAAGCTTGGTCCCCTGGCTGCCAGCTGAAAAGATGCCACCGTCTAAGTCTGCGCTGGCTCTGCCTTCCTGGACGATCTGCACGAGCCCAGGGCGGCGGCTCAGCAGACCAGGCTGCACACACAGGTGGGCACCCACCGCAGACGCCTTCCTTGTATGGGAGAAAGTTGACTCGCACTCGTGAAACGGCTCCGCTCCCCTGGGCAGCTCCCCAGTCCGCACACACGGGCTGCTGCTCCAATGGACCAGGACGAGGCACCGGTCGGCCTTAGCACAGGCTGATCTGCCAGGGTCCAAGCCAGGAGATGAACTCAGGACTTAGGCTCCCCGGGGGCCCCTGCGAGGGAGGCGTGGTGCTGGGACCTGGAGCTGCTCTGGGATGAAATCGAGTGACTTTCTTTCATCTGCGTCCATCCATGCACCTGCCCCAGGGCCACGTCCCAGAAGAGGCCCAGTATCTGCCTGATAAGGCTCGGATGATGA